TCCGGGTGACTGTTAGTCTCGGCGCCGCCGCCGGGCTTCTTGGGGTGCAGGGCTCGCTCCCTGGCCACTCCAGATTCCGCCGCCTCCCCAGCCCTGCTTGGGGCGGAACCGAAGAAAGGTCAGGTCCAGCCCCGCCCCGTCCCTTCTCGCCCCCGGGAGGTCGCTGTGAGTGGCTTACTTTTAGAATTGACTTCAGCCACGTGCAGCTTCCATGGCTGCCTCGCAGACCCCGGGGGAGAAGATTAATATCCAGGCGGTAGACACGGCAAAGGTCGGGGACAGGGACCTGCTGGGGAACGACTATCCCGAGCAGGACAGACCCCCTCTGCGCTCTTGGAGACAGAAATGTGCCTCCTACGTGCTGGCCCTGAGACCCTGGAGCTTCAGTGCCTCACTCACTCCCGTGGCACTGGGCAGTGCCCTGGCGTACAGATCCCAGGGCGTTCTGGATCCCAGACTATTGGTGGGTTGTGCAGTGGCTGTCCTGGCTGTGCATGGGGCCGGCAATTTGGTCAACACTTATTATGACTTTTCCAAGGGAATTGACCACAAAAAGAGTGATGACAGAACCCTGGTGGATAGAATCTTGGAGCCCCAGGATGTTGTCCGGTTTGGAGTCTTTCTCTACACCTTGGGCTGTGTCTGTGCTGCTTGCCTCTATTACCTGTCCCCTCTGAGACTGGAGCACTTGGCTCTCATCTACTTTGGAGGTCTTTCTGGCTCCTTTCTCTACACTGGAGGTAAGAATTGGTTTGTTTTGGTGCTGCAAGTCTTAGTCGTTTACACTGGAAACTGCTGTTTTGGATGTAGTTCTGTGATTAGGGGAGGAGCATCAAAGACTTTTTTCTGAATTAGGCCACTTTACCTGAAATCTGTAATATGTGGGTCATGTGTTGTTGTTTTTTTAAGAATTATTTATTTAATTTTTGTACTATTATTTTTTAATTTGGCCAGAGAGAGACAGAAAGTGAAAAAGCAAGCCACCAGGTCCGGGACTAGAACTGTGGTTGACCATATGGAGAGTCCAGTGCCTTAACCACTATGCTACCTGTTGCCCTGTCATTTTTTTTTTTTTAGATTTATTTATTTAATTATATTATTTTTAATTTGACCAGAAAGAGACAAGAGTAAGAGAGGGAAAGTGAGAAAGCAAGCCTACAGGTCCAGGACTCGAACTATGGTCCCACATGTGGGAGTCCAACACCTTTAACACCATGCCATGTCATGTGATGTTTTAAAAAACAGTTAAGTTGATGGGACTGGCAGTTAGCGTAATGGCTATGTCGCTGGACTCCCACGTAGTCGACCACGGTTTGCGTCCCGGACCCGGTGGCTTAAAACTCACACCAGGTGTGTGTGTGTGTGCGCCCAGGATCAAAAGAGGAGAATGGAGGAGAAGGGATTGTGGTGTGACCATCCCCCCCGGGGGTGATTTCTCGCTTTCTGTCTCTGTCTGGCGAGCGCGCACGCGCCCTATAGTGAAAACCTCTCAAAAAAACAAAAAAAACAAAAAAAACAAAAAAAAACAGGTTGAGAAGATCCTGGATTGACTTATAGCTATTGAGAAAGACTCAAAAAATATATGGACCTTTTATCATATCTAGTTTCTTTTGTTGGTCATACTTTGGAATCCACAGTTTGAAATTCTAGTAGAATTAAATTTGAAAAGCCCTAAATTATACAGCTAATTATTTTCATCTAGATTCTAGGTGACTTAGCAGCAGCTGATAAAGGTAATAAGTGTTTAAGCCCTATTTATTGAACACCTAGTATGTGCCAGACACTGCTCTACACAAACAGAGCACTCAAAAGGACTGTTCTTGTGGAACGTACTATTTTATCATAAGGAGAGACAGTAAAAATTGTAAATTACAGTTAAGTTTGCTCAGAACTTAGAGAGTTCCCAAGATCTAGGACATTTAGTGCTAAAAACTAAGAAAGCTTCTGTCATTATGTAAGTGCTATGATAGGAAAAAAAAAAAAAAGAAAATAAAGAAAAAGTAGAGCAAAGAAGAGGACCCAGATTATTATTTTAGGTAATTCAACCCAGGTAGGCCTCATCAAAGAAGGTAATGTTTGAGCTAAATTAGGAAGAGTGATAGATAAAGAATTTAGCCAAGCTAACTTGGAGAAAGAATGTTCCAGGAAGAAGGAACAGCAAATGCCAATGAGCCTTAAGGCAGGAGTGGGGCTAACGAGCTTGAGGAACAGTGAGGAGTCCAGTGTATAAATGAGGGAGAGAGTAAAAGGAGGTATAGTAAGAGAAGTACGTTTGGGAACAATAAGGAGACACACAGTATGTAGGCCTGGTAGGCCTCTGGTCTTTACTCCAAAGATGTGGGCCGGAGATACAGATATTTGAGCCATAGGCACATAGGGAAAGTGGTAGGACTGGGAAAGATCATCAGGAGAGGGAGTAGAAAAGTGAGGGGAACCAGGACTGACCCCTGGGCTACTCCAACATTAAGAGAGTGGAGGAAAAGAGAAGGAACAGGTAAAGGGGCCTGTGAACAAGCATCCAAGGGAGTAAGAGGAAAACCAAGAGATTGTGTCCTGGTAGCCAGTTGTATAAAGTTAAATAAAGGAAATCCATGGGGTGCTGCTATGAAAAGGATAAGGTGGTGGTGGTAAAGGGAAAAGGCCCCCTTGAGGGTGATATTTAAGGGAGAGTCAGCTATAAGGCAAAATTGGGGTCTGATTGCAGTGGAGTCCTTCAGAGCTGAAGGGCCAGCAGGTACAAGTGTCCCAGGTTGGAGAGAGCTTGGCATCATCTAGGATCTACGGAAAGGCCATTGTGATCCAGAAGGAGGATGAGTTACAGCTGAGAGATAGGTAGGGCTAGATCATGCTGGTGTTAGAGTCTCAGTGGGCTCTGCTGGTTCTTCCCCACACCCCAACCTCCAGGGTCCAGTCCATGGACCTTCCTTTTCTGTCTCTGTTTACTCCCCTGGTGATTTTAGCGTCTCATAGCTTCAGATGCCATCTGGTAAGTTCTCAAATTCTAGACTCATCTGACTTCTTATTTATTGATTTCTTCTTTTTTTAAATTTAGAATGGTTTATTATTATTTTTTAAACAATTTTTATTTAATTTTATTTATCATTATTACTATTTTTAAATTTGCTACAGGACACATCCACTCACCGCAGAGAGAGAGAAAGTGAGAAAACAAGCTGCCAGGTCTGGAACTCAAACTGTGGTTGACCATGTGGGAGTACAGCTACTGAACTACCACGCCACCTGCTGGCCCCAATTTATTATTATTATTTAGTTTGACCAGAGAAAGAAAGGTAAATTGAGAAAGCAAGGCACCAGGTCTGGGCTTGAACCACGTTGACCATGTGGGAGTCCAGTGCCTTAACCAACACACCACCTGCTGGCCCCCAGTAATTTCTTCTAATTTCTTCTCAAAGGCATCTCAGGCTTAACATGTCTGAAAACAAATTCTTTATCTCTCCAAAGAAAACTGCTCTATTGGCAGCTTTTTCCATTTTATTCAATGGCTAATTTTTCTTTTTTGCTTTTTTTCCGGGTGACTGTTAGTCTCGGCGCCGCCGCCGGGCTTCTTGGGGTGCAGGGCTCGCTCCCTGGCCACTCCAGATTCCGCCGCCTCCCCAGCCCTGCTTGGGGCGGAACCGAAGAAAGGTCAGGTCCAGCCCCGCCCCGTCCCTTCTCGCCCCCGGGAGGTCGCTGTGAGTGGCTTACTTTTAGAATTGACTTCAGCCACGTGCAGCTTCCATGGCTGCCTCGCAGACCCCGGGGGAGAAGATTAATATCCAGGCGGTAGACACGGCAAAGGTCGGGGACAGGGACCTGCTGGGGAACGACTATCCCGAGCAGGACAGACCCCCTCTGCGCTCTTGGAGACAGAAATGTGCCTCCTACGTGCTGGCCCTGAGACCCTGGAGCTTCAGTGCCTCACTCACTCCCGTGGCACTGGGCAGTGCCCTGGCGTACAGATCCCAGGGCGTTCTGGATCCCAGACTATTGGTGGGTTGTGCAGTGGCTGTCCTGGCTGTGCATGGGGCCGGCAATTTGGTCAACACTTATTATGACTTTTCCAAGGGAATTGACCACAAAAAGAGTGATGACAGAACCCTGGTGGATAGAATCTTGGAGCCCCAGGATGTTGTCCGGTTTGGAGTCTTTCTCTACACCTTGGGCTGTGTCTGTGCTGCTTGCCTCTATTACCTGTCCCCTCTGAGACTGGAGCACTTGGCTCTCATCTACTTTGGAGGTCTTTCTGGCTCCTTTCTCTACACTGGAGGTAAGAATTGGTTTGTTTTGGTGCTGCAAGTCTTAGTCGTTTACACTGGAAACTGCTGTTTTGGATGTAGTTCTGTGATTAGGGGAGGAGCATCAAAGACTTTTTTCTGAATTAGGCCACTTTACCTGAAATCTGTAATATGTGGGTCATGTGTTGTTGTTTTTTTAAGAATTATTTATTTAATTTTTGTACTATTATTTTTTAATTTGGCCAGAGAGAGACAGAAAGTGAAAAAGCAAGCCACCAGGTCCGGGACTAGAACTGTGGTTGACCATATGGAGAGTCCAGTGCCTTAACCACTATGCTACCTGTTGCCCTGTCATTTTTTTTTTTAGATTTATTTATTTAATTATATTATTTTTAATTTGACCAGAAAGAGACAAGAGTAAGAGAGGGAAAGTGAGAAAGCAAGCCTACAGGTCCAGGACTCGAACTATGGTCCCACATGTGGGAGTCCAACACCTTTAACACCATGCCATGTCATGTGATGTTTTAAAAAACAGTTAAGTTGATGGGACTGGCAGTTAGCGTAATGGCTATGTCGCTGGACTCCCACGTAGTCGACCACGGTTTGCGTCCCGGACCCGGTGGCTTAAAACTCACACCAGGTGTGTGTGTGTGTGCGCCCAGGATCAAAAGAGGAGAATGGAGGAGAAGGGATTGTGGTGTGACCATCCCCCCCGGGGGTGATTTCTCGCTTTCTGTCTCTGTCTGGCGAGCGCGCACGCGCCCTATAGTGAAAACCTCTCAAAAAAACAAAAAAAACAAAAAAAACAAAAAAAAACAGGTTGAGAAGATCCTGGATTGACTTATAGCTATTGAGAAAGACTCAAAAAATATATGGACCTTTTATCATATCTAGTTTCTTTTGTTGGTCATACTTTGGAATCCACAGTTTGAAATTCTAGTAGAATTAAATTTGAAAAGCCCTAAATTATACAGCTAATTATTTTCATCTAGATTCTAGGTGACTTAGCAGCAGCTGATAAAGGTAATAAGTGTTTAAGCCCTATTTATTGAACACCTAGTATGTGCCAGACACTGCTCTACACAAACAGAGCACTCAAAAGGACTGTTCTTGTGGAACGTACTATTTTATCATAAGGAGAGACAGTAAAAATTGTAAATTACAGTTAAGTTTGCTCAGAACTTAGAGAGTTCCCAAGATCTAGGACATTTAGTGCTAAAAACTAAGAAAGCTTCTGTCATTATGTAAGTGCTATGATAGGAAAAAAAAAAAAAAGAAAATAAAGAAAAAGTAGAGCAAAGAAGAGGACCCAGATTATTATTTTAGGTAATTCAACCCAGGTAGGCCTCATCAAAGAAGGTAATGTTTGAGCTAAATTAGGAAGAGTGATAGATAAAGAATTTAGCCAAGCTAACTTGGAGAAAGAATGTTCCAGGAAGAAGGAACAGCAAATGCCAATGAGCCTTAAGGCAGGAGTGGGGCTAACGAGCTTGAGGAACAGTGAG